CACCCTCGCCGGAGGCCCCGTGTGTCAGGGTCACCAGGGCCAGGGCTCAGGGTCACTGCTGGCCCCACAGGGGCCCCTGCCATGGCCACAGCTGAATGGCTAATGGGAGCTTCCAGGCGGACCAGACCCTGTGGCGCGGTGTGGATAGCCACCTCATCGGCGCTGTTGAAGGGGGACGCAGTTGCCAAGGCCGGCCCCAAACTCCTCTGCAGGCAGGGCTGAGGCTGGAGGGCTGTGTCTGGTCACCTGCAGGTGACCCGCTGCTTCCCCCTTGGAACGGGAACACGGTGGCACTCGAGGCATGTTTGATCCCTCCGTGGGATTCGTGCACGAGGGTCCCGTCCCCTGTGAATCACCAGGGCAAGAGAGGCGTCGCTTCGCTGTCTTTCTTGGGGGTTTTCAAGGCAAGCCCCAGGGAAAGAGGGAGGGAAGGGTTCCAGTGTCTCCAGGGGCCCTGGGGGCATCCGTGATGGCCTAGGGGGTGGCTACAGGGCTGCTGTCGGCTGCGAGGGAGGTCCTGTAGGCACAGGTGGGATCCAAGCCCCCAGCCTCAAGTCCTGGAACCACAGGGCAGGTGCGGCCTCCTCCAGGACCATTGCCCAGAGTGAGGCTGGTGCAGGAAGGCTGGGGGGTGGTCTACGCTCCGGCGTCCACACCCACCACAGACATGGGCTCCTCCTGCTCTGTGGCTATCTCTGCCCAGAGCTGCCCTGCTTCTCCTCCTCCCCACAGGCCTCAACTCCCTCCCCCAGCCTCCCATTCCCCGCTGAACGCCCACTCCCCAGGCCACACAGGGCTGGTTCCCCCGAGGCACCTGGCTCCCGGTGATGGGGCTCCGGCCCTGGCCCAGCCTGCGCACTTGGGGCCTGACAGCCGTTCCCCGATTCATCCATCCAGGAACAAGAAAACCAAACACTGCATTTCCTGCAATAAGTGTGTGTCCGGCTTTGACCACCACTGCAAGTGGATCAACAACTGCGTGGGAAGCCGTAATTACTGGTGAGGGGCACAGCGGGGATGGCCGGCGCGGGCCAGGCTTGGGGGAATTCGGAAGGGAGGGGTCTGTGGGCAGGGGTCCTTGTGGTGAAAGGTGGAGGGTCGTCTTGGGGCCGCGTCCCTGTCCTGATGTGGTGACGCTTGGTGCGTGCGTGCCCCGGCCTCCTGTCTGGCTCTGGGGCTGTGGTGCGGCCGTCCCTGGACAAGGTCATCTGCACAGAGCAAGTCCCTGGAGGCCCAGCGTGGGCATTTGCTGGGCTGCCCTGGTTGAGGCCTCCTGACCGCGCTGTCCTGGGCCGGGCTGCCTCCTCTCCACCCGGGCTGAGGCTCATCCAGCGCAGGGGTGGGGCCACGGAAGGGCAGTGGGCACCCAGCGGGGACTGACGAGAGGTGTGTCCCCTGAGTGCGGTGGAGGCACAGGGATGGGAGGTGTTTCCCCTGAGGGCGGTGGAGGATCCGGGGACTCTCAAGGCCCGGTGTTCTGAGCCCCGGCTGTTAGCAGCCCTGAGTTGTGAAGATCACCAGGGAAAAGAACCACGTCTGCCCCCAGCTACTCTGTGCTGACCTGAAGGAGGCCTTGGTGTGGGTGGGAGTGGGGACCAACGTCATCTGGGGTCACAGGACGTGCCGTGGGGTCCCTGCCCTGCCTCCCTGCCATCCCGCCTTGAGCACTGTGTGTGTCCAGAGTGGCTGAGCAACCCGGCAGGGACAGAGGCTGCGTCACTGCAGAGCGAGTCCCGAGGCCGCACGAGATGGTAGGGGCTGGGGAGACCCACCCGCCTCCTCCCTAGGAGAGGAGCAGCTCCAGGACGGCCGAGGTGTGGCCGGCTCCTCTGGGTCACGCTAGCCCCGGGTGCCACTTCCTTCTGGACTCATTATGCTCTGGTGCCTTGAGCTGGCTCAATCCGGCGGGGCCTGGCGGGGAAGGTGAGGGGAGTGAGGGCCCACAGGCAGGTGGCAAGGAGAGGGTTTGTCTTCCTCAGGAAGGGCACTGGAGACGCACCGTCTGGGCACCAAGTGTAGACGCCGCCTACAAGTGAGAAAGGGGCATCAGGAGAGCAGGGCTGGGGTCATGGGCGCCCTGAGCTCCAAGCAGTAGCCAACGCCGGCATCTGTGCCAACCTCACTTCTGTCCCTTCATCCGCCAGAGGCGGAGAGAACAGCGGCATTGAGAGCAAGATGAGGAAAGTCGAGGAGCTGATGGCAGAGCCTTGCGAGGGAGGCTGCCTACTTCGTTGTGATAAGAGGAAGGGGATGGAAAGAAGCAGGCGGCCCTGGTGTCCCGGGAAGACCGTGGGCGCTGGCCTCAGACTGTGCGGGCTGAACATGGGCAGCAGGGGCAGGAGGCTGTGCTAAGCAGGAGGAGAGCGGCCCTGGGCGGCTGCGGGCAGAGGAGGCCCCATGTGAATGGCTCAGCCCCATCCTATGGGCTTTGGTCTCTGTGGTCTTAGAGACCCGCCTGCCTTCCTGGATGAAGAGGGGAGTCCTGTCCAGACAGTGGGATGAAGATGAGGGGTCTTTACTCCCCACAAGTGGGCTCAAGCCCAGGAGGACTGGGGGCACAGTAGGGCACGTCCGCCGCCTGGAGGGGTTGCTGCTTTGGAAACCCAGGCTGGGCATGGAAGGCCTCGCCACGTCCTCCGAGCTACGCAGCCACATCCAGGCCAGGCTCCCAGGCTCGGCGCTGGCAGAAGAGCGCACTGGTGGCGTCAGGAACCAGGACACCTGCAAGGAGGGCTGGGACCACCCGCCTGGTCGTCGCTGTGAGAGGGAAGCCAGCGCGCGGGAGCAGCAGTCGGGGAGCCCCTCACGCCGGAGCCACCCCTCACCCCTGGATTATCCAGAAGACTCTTGGAGGGAGAGGAGCGCCCGGAAGGCAGCTGTCCCCGCACCACCTCCTCGGAAGACTGTGGCATTCATGCTCTGGCCTCCAGTTGAAAATACAAAAAGGGATTTCAGTGAACTTAGGTGAACACAATACACTGGAAAAGGTTAAAGGAGGTTAAAGGATCCTTATTAAAAAAAGTCATAATGGCAGAGAGACCAAGGAAGACGGTTTAGTCAAAGTAGGTTCCAGGGACCGCTGTCCAGAATTGGTTTTTCTGGATGGATTATTCTCTCCATCTTTTGAGCAAAAACGAGGGGCTGGGAGTGGTTTTGGTCTCACGTCTACAGTATGCGCGTCACTTTTGGCTCAATTGTGCACGAGAGCCTCGGAGAAGGGGGAACTGCAGCTGAGGAGCGGCCGGGCTCCTCCAGGGCCTCCTCAGCCCGAGTTCCCTTTGGGTGCAGTGACCCAGGTCCCTGAGCCTGCAGGCCCTCCTGGGTACCACGGTGCAATCATGGCTCTCTCTTTCCCTGGCTTCAGTGCCTTTGCCTAGCATGGTGCCATGGAGACCCCAACACAGACCATGCTCAGGGCGCCCTGAGTGGACCCCGCGTGCTCCTTGGCTGGGAGGGAGCCCTGTCTGAATGAGGTGGAGTCGGAGGTGCGGGCAGAGGCCCCGGAGCCGTGACGCTGGAGACGCGGTGTGACCTTCACGCTCCACTGGCCGGGTGGGCTTGGGCGAGTCGCATCGCGTCTCTGACCTCAGTTTCCCCACTCGTGAGAAGGGCTAGTTCCCCTCCTCACAATCTCCTTGTTCCTTGTGGGGAGTAAATGAAACCAAGTTTGCAAGAAGTGCTGCCTGAATTGTCGGGCAGTGTGAGATGGTGGGAATGTCCCATGGCCACCCCTCTCCAGTGAGAGGCCTGGAGACCCGGGGGGCGTCACAGGATGGGACAGAGACAGGAGCCTGAGCTTCCAGGCACGGTCGGGAGCAGGGTTTGAGGCCAGTGTCGGGCGGTGGCCAGCGGCCCTCTCTTAGTGGATGCCCACGCTGAGCTGTCGCCTCCACCCTGTGGGCTCCAGAAGCCCTGCGCGTCCCTGCCTCTGCCCCCGCACCCTCCCACCTGCCCCCGATGCCCTGCGCATCCCTGCCGCCACGCCCCCCACACCCACCCCTGCCCCCTGCCCCCCCACGCTGCCACCCAATGCCCTGCGCCACTCCTGCCCACGCCTCCCCACACCCAACCCCTGCCCCGTGCCCACCTCCCTGCATGGCTGCCCCGCCCCCTGCCCCTGATGCCTGCAATGTCCCTGCCTCTGGCCCCGTGCTTCCCCGCACCCTGCCCCTGTACCGCCACACCCAGCTCTGCGTGCACACCGCCCCCAACCCTTGCGCCCCCCACCACCTGCCCCGCAGCCCCGCACACCGCTGCCCCAGCCCTGCCCGCTTGTGGCCGCCCGCCAACACCCTGCCCCCCACCCTGCCCCTGTGCTCACACCTGCACCGGCTACCCCGGCAACACCTGCCCGTGGCCCCCACCTGCCCCCGAGCATGGCCCACCTGCTCTCATGTCCCCCACCCCAATGCCTGCGTGTGTGGTTCCCTGGCAAGGCTTTTTCCCTTCCCCAGCACCGTGGTATCAGCCACAGCGCGGCCCCATGCCTTTGCCTGATCACGCATCCCCTGCTGTACATCCTCGTCCCAGTACTTTGTGGACCGGGGTGCTGCCGCACGGAAACCCAACTATGAAAGGTACGTGGACCCGCCCTCTTGGGGGCCTCAGGCCTCACCTCCAGCCATCCTTTTCCGGGCCAGTAGTATCGGATCTGGAGGTGTCGGCGCCCTCCTTGCCCCCCAAAGCGGAGAGGCCCAGGGGCTGGGCGGGCACCAGGCAAGGCTCTGCACCTGGCGAAGGCCAGTAGCCCAGGGTCCACTAACAGGGCCCCAGCAACCCCCGCGTGCAGGAGGCAGGCTTGGGGAAGGCAGCCTGGCCGGCAAGCTGCTCTGTGAATGCTGGCAGGTGCGACCAGGTGAGAGACCAAAGTGGGGTCCGGGCTCTGGCCCCCGCCCCTTCCCCAAGTACAACCCTGGCAGCACCTGTCAATGCCCGTCCTGTGGAGGCCACGTGGCTGTGGCGACACAGTGGGGGTGTTCTGTCCATGGCCAGGAAGCAGCCCACGGGAGACGAGAGGCAGCAGGCATGCCGCTGCAGGTGCTGGGCTGTGGTCTTCCCAGAGTTGCTAGAGACTCCTTGGGGCCAAGTGGGCCCCAGAGCCTGGGAAGGCCCCACTGAGCCCCACCAGGAGAGCGTGGACCGGTGAGGACTGTGGGCCCTCCCAAGTGGCAAGTCCACCGCCAAACCCGGACCCGCCCGTGATGCCAGTGTCGCTCAGGAAATGCGGTCTGTCCGCTGTGACTTGAGGATCTGAGGGGGAGTCTCATGCTGGGTGGAGTCACCAGGAGGCAAATCGCAGCCGCATGAGAGTGGCTTTATAAGAGGAAAGGAGAGACGTAGAGGGGAGGGCCAGCCCCCGTGAGGATGGAGGCAGGGTTGAGTCACACCGGCCACAGCCCAGGGTCGCCCGGAGCCCCAGAGCGGCAGAGGTGGGAGAAGGACCTCCCTGGACGCTGTGGAGGCGTGCGGTGTCCCACCCTGTCCTGAAGCTTGCGACGTCAGGAGCCCTGCCTCCAACTGCAAGAGTCTGCTGTGGAATGCAGAGGTGGCGTGCCTGCCTGTCTTCCAGCTGGACGCCAGAGCCCTGCCTCGGAGTGCAGGAGTCTGCCATGGAATGCGGAGGCCATGTGCCCTCTTGTCCTGTAGCTGGATGTCAGAGCCCTGCCTCGGAGTGCAGGAGTCTGCCGTGGAATGCGGAGGCCATGTGCCCTCTTGTCCTGTAGCTGGATGTCAGAGCCCTGCCTCGGAGCGCAGGAGTCTGCTGTGGAATGCGGAGGCCGTGTGCCCTCTTGTCCTGTAGCTGGATGTCAGAGCCCTGCCTCGGAGCGCAGGAGTCTGCTGTGGAATGCGGAGGCCGTGTGCCTTCTTGTCCTGTAGCTGGATGTCAGAGCCCTGCCTCGGAGCGCAGGAGTCTGCCGTGGGAGCTGCCCGCAGCCGCCGCCACTTGTTGCATTTATCGCAGCCGCGCTGGGACCCTCACCAGGAGGACCTGGGCCAGAGCAGCCCCTTGGGGTGTGGGTCAAGACTGCCAGTCTCGGCCCCAGGCGTGGCTGCGCCCGCACTGCACACGGCCCAGGTGGCAAGAGAGGCAGGACTTGCCTGCCCCTTGTTCCAGAACATTCCAGAGCCAACACGGTGTGACTTTTTTTTCAAGGATGAGCTTTGCCAGCTCCGTGTGGAAGGCCCTAAAGCTCCTCGTTCCACTTGGAAGCGTGACTGGTGCCACCCGGGCCTCACAGCCGCTTCGGAAGCACTTCCTGAAAGCCAGCTCCACCCTGGCAAGGCCCTGACCTCAGCGGGCCCAAGCCCAGGACGATGCCTGTTGTGTTCTTCTTCCCCCTGTAGCAAGCCACCTTCCCCAGCAGCCTCCACGTTGTCTGGGCCGTCACCATGGGGGATGCCAGGAGAGAGTGAGAGGCAAGAGGTGGCCGAGACGGCGTGTGCTGGCTTCTCTCCTGGAACATGCTGCTTCCACACGGTAGTGCCAGTGGCTCGGTGTGAGTTCATTGACTGTGGACTGATGATTTCCTGGGTTTGCTGTTCCAGATGATTCTGCAGGACTTTAAAACCAGCAGGGCCCTGAGCAAAGCAGCTGCTTGTTACCATGGGCAGGACTCATCGTGATGTCATGGCTAAGGGGGCCGTGTGGGGTCCAGCCTGGCCCAGACACATTGAGCTGCAGTCCCGTCTGGCCGACTGTGGTATTTTCCTTCCTAGGATGGCCCCCGAGGCCACCAGTTCCAGAGAGGGTCCGTCACCCAAAGACATCCACGCTGAACCCAACCTTCTGCCATTCTGCCTTACCCGACCCTCTCCCATTCTACCTTGTCTGACCCTCTGCCATTCTGCATTACGCCTGATTTTTGGAAGTGGTGTGGTTTTGAGTGTTGGCAGCCCAGTGTCTCAGAGGACCGTATCTTAGAAATGACCCCAGGCGAGAGCTGTGGCTTTCCTGTTCTATTCGAAGGCGGCTGTTTTAGGGTGCAGAGGGCCCAGGGACGTAGCGTGGGCCATGAGGAAGGGATGGGTGCTGGGGCCCGGCAGAGCTGGCAGGCGCTGTGACCCCTGCACTTAGTGAGGAAGGGGTGAGTGCTGGGGCCCTGGCACTTAGTGACCCTGTCGGAGCCTCACCTCCCAGATCCATAAAGCAGGGATCATAAAAACCAACCGCAGGCAGCAGGACCCACAGGGCCTTTAGGTACGGGAGGCGTCCACTTGGGCAGGGAGGCTTCCCTCGCGCCGGCTGTCCCCACGCTGCCCCATCCCCAGCAAGCTCTGGTCTGCGACGTCCACCTGATGTGGCGCCCGTCAACAGGTGCTGGACACAGTGTCTCTCCCTTGTCTCGACAGATGTCAAGAATACGAACACGTGGCTGCTGTTCCTTCCCCTGTTCCCGGTGCAGGTGCAGACCCTGATAGTCGTGATCATCGGGATGGTCGTGCTCCTGCTGGACCTGCTTGGCTTGGTGCAGCTGGGCCAGCTGCTCATCTTCCACATCTACCTGAGTATGTCCCCCACCCTAAGCCCCCCGATTCCCCCAAGCCTGGGTGGTCAGAGCTGCTCATCTTCCACATCTACCTGAGTATGTTCCCCACCCTGAGCCCCCCATGCCTGGGGCTGGTGTGTTTGCCCGCCGTGTACGCATGTGTTCAGGGTCAGCCTGTCCCAGAAATGAGATCATGGGCAAAAAGGGCAACTCACAGGAAGAAATTAAAGCCATGAGGGCCCAGCAGGCCCAGCAAGGAGCTAAACTCACACAGAGACCTGCAGGAGCAGTGCCAGGTGCTTGAAGTAACAAGTTTAAAATGTTCAGAGACAATGGAATGGGATCTATTAGAGAAGAACAGGACATTATGAAATAAGAATAGGACATTATGAAATAAGAACAGGTGGATTTAGAAAAGCAGCAAGTAGAAATTCTAACAATGAAAAATGTTACAGGCAGGTAGGTCACCCACTAACCAGACAACTGAAGCGAGAGTTGGTGGTCTTGCTGAGTCTCACAGCGGGCACAGCAGTAGGTGGTCAGTCATGTTGCTGAACCAGGGAGGATAAACTCTCCAGCCCCAGGGAAACCTGTTGTTGGAAGTAACAACCACCTCCCTGCTCTTGGCATCAGCCGTTTTGGTCATGGTGGGCCAGCTGCAAAGCATCTTCCATTCTCTGAGCAGTGGTGGCCCTGAGGCTGTGGCCTCTCAGGGAGTTTCTTTGGACACGGGCAGCAGAATGTGTCCAGGCCAGCCCCCAGGAATGCCCTGCTCCCAACAGCTTGGCCAACCCCTGGTCAGGGCGGAGGGAGTCGGGTGGGTCAGCCTCTGGGCTCACCTCCATCTGCAGAACAGCCCGTCTGCAGCTGTGGTGAGAATGCCCAGCTCAGAATGAACGTGCACCACCAAGAGGCTCGTTGTTCATAACCAAAGGTTACCCTACAAACCACCGTCCCCACACAACCCTGGGAACGTTTTATAACACACACCTCTAACGCACATCTCGCAGTCACTGTTGTCTTGCCTGAAGGTTGAATTTTTTTTTAATGAAAGTGCAGTGAAGATCACTGGATTAAATCCTACGGACAGAGTGCTGAATGTGGTGTTTTCAGAATTTTAATTTTGGACGTCAAGACCAGTGCCTGTACAGAGTAGGTGCTTAGGATGTGTTTACTGAATGGAACGGAGCTAAAGCCTCAGATGTAACTTCACAGAGACACGCGTCTGCCTTGTAGAATGTCACAGGCTGCCCGTTCCTGAAGCCTAAACCGTTAAGCGTGAGAAGTCATTTGGGCTCCTTCAAAACTCTCCACCCCTCTTAGAATCAGGAATATTTTTAAAAGTGCTTTCTAGAATTATGTAGCAATCTTTCTTATATTTAAATATTTTGGGGTTTACCACAAAGGCTTTCCTGGAGTTTCACTCCACCCAGAATTCATCATCTCTCCTTATCAGGAAATCTCTCGCCCTCAGATGCTCAGAGTCAGGGCAAGTCCCCCCACAACACGAGAATCGGCCAAGCTTGGGCCGAAGCCCACATGGTCTTTTCCACACATGCGGCAGATTAACGGACGCCCAAACTGCCCACATGCGGCAGATTAACGGACGCCCAAACTGCCCAGTGGTACAAAGTCTGCACTTGTCGTTCTTTTCCAACTTTGTGCACAAAATGTTTCCTTGGGTTAAAATAGTCAATGCCAACTGTGTGCTGAGCACGTGAGGGGGCTGCAGGCTTCTGTGGGCGAGGCATGGTCACCTGCACGCTGGGACGAGAGGATGAAGAATGAGACAGGAACAAGTGTGGACGGCCTTTGTGCTGTGAAGAAGCTGGCCCTCGCCTCAGGCGGCAGAGGAGCAGGGGGCAACAGCAGGCACGGGGGTGCGGTCCCAGGGGCCAAGGAGACTGTGCCTGACCTGGGCGTCGCCGGGACTTTCCTGCTCATGGTGGATCCAGAAGCCCCCAGAGGAAGCTTGACCCATGGAAGGTGCTGGAGCCCGAGAGGCCATCCACCCCTGGTGCATGCTGTGCCCGAGTGGCTCTGCCAGCCCCGGCCACGGCCACACAGTGCAGATCATGCCAGGAGCTGGCTGCCGCTCACACATGCACTGTTCAGTGGGCATATGAGGGGCAGAAGGCCAGGCCCCCAGGACACAGCCCACCCCAAGGGCCGACACCAGCACCCTGTTGCTCCTGGGTGCCCGGCTGTAGTCCTGGAGGCAAAGTGGTCACCTGTGTGCTTGACCATAGGTGCAGACACCACCTATTGCTTCACCCCTGCATTTGGGACCAAGCTCAGGGGCGCCGCTGACGGCTACACCGTGTGCCTCTCCTTTCTCAAGGTTTCTGACCCGCACGTGACTCCCACGCTGGCCCTGGATGTGGCACCGTTGGTGCTGTGGAAGCCTGTGCTGCTGGCATTTGGGGAGGCGTGGCCCATACACAGACTGCTTCCTGAAGGGTGTGAAGTCCCAGAGGACGAACCTTTGCCATCTGGGGGCATCAGCCATTTGTTCCTGTCTCCTGCAGTGGTACCTGTCCCCACATCAGAGACCAGCGAGGAGATGCCCCCGCCAGGCTATGTCAGGCCTGGGGAGAGCAGGGAAGTGCAGTGGGCCTGAAGCCATGTAGGGCTGGGAGGGATGGCCTGGTCTGTCCTCCGAGCCGGGCACTGCGTTTGCAACGGGCTCCTTGAACACAAAACCCAAATCAGGTGTGGCAGAAACATGAAAGGACAGGCAGGTGGGTGCTGTGGGCAGACAAACCCACACGACCACAGCAGACAGCATGATGCCTGGAGGCATGACGCCATGGCCTAGTCCCGCCCCCATGACCCGGAGCCTCCCTGGGCAGTGACTCCAGGACAGCTGGGAGCTGCTTCTCTACCTGGCAGGGCTCCCGGCTCCACAGCCCCAGGCGACTCCCAGCCTCCCTTGCTTTTGGCCTCTGAGACCGTCGATGCAGGAGGTGTCTCACCACAGCCTCTCCTGGTCACCCAGTTGGCCCGAGGGGCTCGGGAAGGGCCCCCAGAGGAGTCATGCCAAGGAGGGGACCTGCACACAGCAGGGAGGTGTGGCCACGAGCCCACCCAGCTGGCTCAGGGCTTGTGTGGTGTGAAAGAGGCCAGTGCAGAGCAGCTGATGGAACCTTCTCCCTCTGCAGGGCCTCACCCCCGGTGTACGTACCGGCAACCTTAGGCACCTGCCCCTGGCTGGTCAGCTGCCCCTGGACCTGGGAGACTGGCTCTGGGCATGGGCTAGAGTTCCCTTTCCCAAACAGCTGCTGAGGCTCCAAGGAAGACCCTGGACTCCTGCTAAAATGCGGCTCAGTCCCCACCCACCCATCCTGTGGCTGCCTGTGGCCTCCAGGAGGAGGTGGTGCGGGGTGGCCTGCTGTGGTCGTGTGAGTTTGTCTAGTGTGGAGACATCCCAGCTGAGCCAGAGAAGCCACAGAAACCATGTCAGGGGTCCTGGTCACCGAGGCGTTTCCCGAGGATCTGAATGTGGGCAGGGCAGGCCGTGAGAAACACGGGCCACCTTGTGCCCGACATCCCAGAGGGAAGCCAGGGACACGGAGCTGGCAGGCAGCCTCCAGGGTCATCCATACATCATGGCGAGCTTGCAAACACAAGGAAGGGTGGCCTGGGGAGCTGTCTGGGACTCCAGACTAGCAGCACTTAAAGGCCCACTGAGGTCAACGTGAGGACGGGTCCTCCGCGGGCCCCTGGGTCCCAACCCAGGCAACTGGAGTGACGAGTGCTTCCATGAGCGGAACACGGGCCACGGGTCTCTCAGACCTCTCAGCCAGGGCTGAATGTGTTGATATTAGGGTATTTAGACATCAAAGAATAGATTTCCAGGACAAAGTGGGTAGATTGGTTATTGTTAGTTGTGGTAAAACTGCCCCATAACGTAGCTGCTCAGTGCAGCACGTCATCACCTCAGCCTCTGTGGTCAGGAGGCCAGCACCTCTGAGCTGTGTCTCTGCCAGGGTCCCTGGAGAGGTGTCCACGGGGGCTCTGGGCTGTGCTCTCCTCCAGAGGCCTGAGAGGCCATCTGTCTCCCACTCCATGAGGCTGAGGCAGCTGTGGAAGGTGGTCCTCAGGCCAAGGTCGCCAGTCTCCTGTGCAGGCTCCTGGAGGTGCAGCCTGGCCTGCATGTGTGTTCTGTTCATCTGGGGGCAGGTGTTGGGTGGGGGGCCATGGGGAGCTGTGTCAGAAGCAGCTGGCCACTCAGACTTCATTTTGAAGCTGGAGGATGGACCTTGGAGAGTCCTCAGGGCTCGTGGTGAGGGCACAATTCCCTGAGCAGGTGAGTGATGTGGGGCTGCCTTCCAGAGATGGATGGGAGCCACATTCACGGTAGATTGTAGAGAAAACCTGCTTGATGAGGTCAGGGAAGCACAGCCTTCCCCACATTGCCCGGCCGGCCAGGGAGCCCCGGCCATGCTGGAGACCCTGGGCCCGCCTGGGAGGTTTCGCGGCTTCCCTGCCCTCAACCTCACCATGACGCTCAGGTTAACTGTTTCCCACAGAGCTCACCCGCACCAAGTGGGCCTCTGGGAGCCACAGGGCACGCTGAAAATCTGGTTTTGATGGTATTTGTGCAAACCTGGGCAAAAGAACATATATTTTAACTTGAATATAAACAAGCACAAGTTCGTGTGCTCAAACCACAACAGGTTCTGGGGGACGTGGAGGACTAGCCCGAGCCATGTGAAGCAGCTCAGGGCCCTAGGGCCGAACACCCAAAACACTGCAGGCGACGGGGCTGGGCTGGCTGCAGGCAACTCCATAGGGCACCCACCGCCATCTGCTCCTCACTGCAAATAGGCCTCTGTGGGCGGCTGCCACAGTCTCCAGAAATAGTCACGAGACATCAGCTCTCACGGTGTTGGTGCTTAGGGAAAGCAGCATGGAGATTTTGGCACCTCCCCGGAAGCTCGTGGCTGAAATAGGTGCAGAGCCCATTTTATTAACGTTTAGTAAGACGAGTCTTTTAGATAAACGGGTGTCTCAGGTTTTCCTTTGCTTGGATGCGCTGCTTTGCTGCCTGCAGTGCAGGCCGGGTGGATGGGGCTCTGGCCGGCCTGCTGTGGTGGGCTCTGTGCAGGGCTGCAGGGATGTGACCTGTCTCGGGCCCATCAGAGGCTGTGCTGAGTGGCACTGATGGCACTCGTGTTCACCTCCTGGGCCTGGGGCTCTGAGCGCCAGCAGCAGTGTGTGGTCCCAGGACCCGGTAGCCAGCACCTCGGGGTGGCTGCCGCACTGTCGTCCTCTGACTTCGGGGTCTCTGTGAATCCCCCAAGGTGTGCCCCACCCCGTGTCCAGATGTGAGGAACCCCGCAGGCCACCTGGACCCTCAGACAGAGCAGCCCCTCCTGAGCTGGCCTCTGACCCCTGCCAGTGTTCCCAGGGGATCTAGAGCAACCTCTCAGGCTGCATGGTATGGGGGACCCAGGTCTGTGAGAGGCAGCTTCTCTTCTGACACCACTGACGATGCAGCTCAGTGAGGCCTTGGTGGGCAGGGGGGTGTGGAGCGGTGCCGGTCCCCAGGTCACAGCTGCAGACCTCTCTTGCTGACCATCAGCTAGCTGTGGAGCTGGACCCACGAGGCGCCTGCACCCATCCTGGCCTCACAGGGCCTGCGTGGTGGGCGGAGCACCGCTCCCTGCGCAGGGGCTGGGTCAGTGGCGCTGGCTGCCTTTCTGAACTGTCCTGTGGGCGCTGCGCAAAGCTGCAGGGCTGGTAACTTGTCCTGTTCCTCCTTTCCGCTTTCCAGAGGCCAAGAAGCTGACCACCTTTGAGTATCTCATTAAGACCCGCAAAGAAGAGAGTTCAAAACACCAAGTGGCGAGGAAAGATCCATGCGCGCAAATAGAGGACGGATTTCTCCAGGTACTGCTTGTGTCTCTGTTCCATGTCTCAGGCCTGGGACAATGTCTAAGGTCGCTCTGTGGTTGGCATGCTCCTTTGCTTCATGGCTGGTGCAGCCTGTGAACTCTGCTGTGAGTGTGTGTAGTGTGTGTGTGTCTGAGGCTATGTGCATGGGTGTGTCTGTGTGTCTTTGTGAACTTAAATACCAGAAATGCACCAATGACTTCCTAGTGCAAAGATAGTAATGGAACTGAGTCTCCTAAACATTTCTGTTTTTTTGAGACAGAGTCTTGCTGTGTTGCCCAGGGTGGAGTGAAGTGGTGAGATCTCAGCTCACTGCAGCCTCCACCTCCTGGGTTCAAACAGTTTGCCTGCCTCAGCCTCCCAAGTCGCTGGGATCGTAGATGTGTGCCACTACACCCGGCAAATTTTTATTTTTGTATTTTTAGTAGAAATGTGGTTTTGACATGCCAAGCTGGTCTCAAACTTCTGGCCTCAGGTGATCTGCCTGCCTTGGCCTCCAAATGTGCTGGGATTACAGGCATGAGCCTCTGTACCTGGCCTGAAACACGCTTTTTAACTTAAGGAAGTTAGTTCCCTTTCCAGTTAAGGGACATGAATTATTATAACTAACTCAAGAAGACATAGAAAATCTCAACAGACATAGAGCTGCCGAGAGACTGAACTACTAATTTAAAATCTCCCAGTGAAGAAAAATCCCAGGCCCTGAAATCTTCATGCATGAATTCTAGCAGAGATTTTAAGGAAAAAATATAATACCAACTACACACAGACTCTTTCAGAAAACAGAGAAGGAAGCAACACTTCCCACCTCATTCAGCAATGCCACCATCAACCTGACACCAAAAACACTTCCCAACTCACTCAGCAATACCACCATCAACCTAACACCAAAGCCAGGCGTTCGTAAGCCAATACATTCAGGAGACACAAGCAAAGACCACTGATAAGACCTTGGCAAACCAAATCCAGCAGCACCGGGCTCAGGACCATGCACTGTGGCCAAGTGATATCACTCCGGGGTAAGCAGTGGCTTAAGGCCTAG